TTTCTGACACCTCTAGCTTAAAATTCAAAAGAACTAAAGGATCGAGAGGCCACGCTTTCACGGTTTGTATTCAAACTAAAAATCAAAATCAAGTAAGCTTTTACCCTTTTGTTCTTTCACGTGTTCAAGCATCGCCCGTCCCACGAGATTGCCAACCGATATGCATGGACAAGTGCGACCCCACGATAGAACGAGCTCGTCTAAGTTACTCGACTACGTGCGTATGTATATATTCGTTAGTTACTCGACGACGCTTATAACAAGCCAGCTTGTGTGCTTGAGCCATGATTTCTCCAGCCGCCATGTGATGTGGCGGTCCTTAAAGCATGCGCGTCGGTTGACCCGAGCGATTTGACGAGCGGTGCATGTTTCCGCCTCGCTGACTTGGCCCCATGCGCAGTAGAGGGACAGTCCCAAGGTACAGACACAACAGCCGTAGCTCGTAGACCAGCAAGGCACGCACGGCCATAGATCGTGCAACGCTTGGTTGATCGTATCCAACGCTTTGTCATAGTCTGCTTGGGTCATGTAGGCTTCTAGTTGAGAGGGAAAGGTAGAAGCATCGTATTCGTTTGAGAGGCCATTGACCCAGACGTCTCCAATGGCAGGCACTCGGAAGACTTCTCGTGGAATCGACTCTGCCATGGCAGGAGCGGCATCAGAAGACTTCTCGCTGTCCATATGTTGTGATTGCGGTCGAAATCCGGATAAACGACCCCCACTGCTCTTCTCGATCCGGACACTTCGCACTCGACATTTCGCTAATCTTCATGCAAAATCAAAAGAAACAACGGAAGATGGTGGCAGGCATGACGGCCGACAATGCCTCAGCGAATGGACTCCTTCCGAGGGAATGCATGCATATTGTCGCGTCATACTTGGACCACTCGGCGTTGCATAGGATGGAACTGACATGTCGATCGTTCTACGAATGCGCCATCGACGGAGGTTCGGAGGCCAGTTGACATCAAATGTATCTGACCCTTGTGATATCGACAGCATATTGGAGAATGAGTGCGTTGCGCGACGCTGTGGTGCTTCCTAGCAAGAACGAATTGGGCTGGAAGGCTCTGGCCTGTGCGTGTGCAAGGATCGACGCGCGAGAGTCCGTCGGACTCCTGCACGCTGTCGTTGGTATGAACTTCATGTTGCGTATGAAAAAGTCCTATGATATGTCACCATTGGATTGCGGTACGTATTAGCGGTGTCTTCTGTCGACCGGCCTGATGCCGAAAGCCCCGAGAACACTCTGCGCATATCGCGATGTTTCCGGCGTATGCGGGTGCTCAATGACGGCGTGCCGCGCCAAGCGCTGCTCAACTATACCCTGCAAACGTACCCTGTACTCATTGTTTCCTATCTCAACGCATGCTCGTAGGCTGATCTGCGGATGTTCCCGAGGTGAATGCTACTGGAGCAGTGGTCCATCCTCGTCTCAGATGCAAGATGATTACATTGACTACGCCGTACTCGATCAATGCATCGTTCGCGCGATGGAACTGGTGCCGTACAAGGCCTTCTGGCAGATGGGTGAGCCCGGGTATGCGCCACTCAAGGTGTCCATTGCACTTCTCGCAAAGTCCGAGACAAGTGAAGAGCGATGTATCGTCTACTCGTCTCCACCATTTGACGTTGCGAATCGAATGGAGGTCTGTACGTACAAGTAGGTCGATCTCTCGCTGAACCCATGATGCCCCAGATGCAAACGTTCCAGCTACCGCGACAGATCTTCGTGCCCGCCGACGCGCATGTCCGCATCACCTTCCACGGGAAGCATCAGTTCGAGTACGACTCCACGGAGAACCCTCGGCGCTACTTTTGCTGCATCAGCCAAATGGGGGTGACAGGTGTTGGGTTTCACACTAAATGAAGGCTGTGAATCGATAACGCAATGGCCAATGGCCGATCAACTAGAAATATTGCTGTAATTTAATTGGCTGAATTTCGTAATAATATTGTGACCAATCCAATAATTGAATGATGAGCCATTTACCAGTAGCCAATCACAGGGAACGGTACATTAAAAGTAAATGAAACCTCCATCGATTCAAGTTGTGAAACGCCTGAAAACAACCCACAACGATGGCCGACGACTTGGATGATGGAACGTCCCCGCTGAGCGCCCGTCCAGCGCACAGACTCGAGCCGCCGCTGACGGCGAAGAACTACCTTCTGCACAAGCTGTACCTACGCCAGGAGTACGCCGAGTGTCTCAAACTGATTGAAGACATGCTCAAGGAGCATCAAGGGTTGTGCGAATATCCCATATACGTCAAAGGTACATAAATCACATCATGTATACCCTTGAGTGTATTTAACCCGTCCTGAGTAGCGTTGATCATGCAGCACAGCGGCCGCATCCAAGAGTCGCTGCAGCTGTTCCAGGCGGCCACGTGCTTGAACCCAGACAACAAGGACAACCTCAAGCAAGTGGGGCGGTCGCTGTACTTGCTAGGGAAGCACAAGGCCGCGATTGAAGTGTACGAAGAGACCAAGAAGCTCGCGGGGCCCGAAGACTGGGAAATCCACCACAACATTGGGCTATGCCACATGTACCTCAAGAGCTACGACCTTGCGATCGAGTCGTTCCAGAGTGCCAACAACATCCATCGCCACGACACGACGTTCCTCCAACTCGGCAAGGTGCACACCCTCCGCGAAGACTTCAAAGCCGCCATCAGCGTATACTTGGAAGCGCTCGAGTTTTCCCCGGAAAACCCCGAGCTGCTCACCACCGTGGGGCTGTTGTACCTCCGAATTGGCGAAAACTTTCGCGCGTTCGACTACTTGGGCAACTCCATGACCCATGACCCCCGCAATGCTAAAGTAACGCTTATCATCGAGTCTATCCAATGCAAAGTACTCTATTCCTTTCGTGGGTACGTAGACGATTCTAGCCGCGGGGTCGATCATTCAAGACCATGGCGATATGGACGTTGCCTTGGTCAAGTATCGAGTCGCTGCTGCCCAAGTATGTACATTTACTTTCGCCTCTTCTCTTGATCTAACCAACACGCACGTACTGCATACATATATATATATATAGATGCACCGCTTTCCCTGGATTATTCGAAGTATCATATATATAATATATATGGTCTAGACACCGAATTCAGCCCAGTTGTGGAACAACATTGGCATGTGTTTCTTTGGCAAGCAGCGGTTCGTGGCGGTACGTTCGATTCAGTATTTGTCATACTAACTAAAAATAACGAGATATGATCATCCGTGTCACATAACGTTAATGAAGTACATAAACTAGTCCAAGGCAACTAACCTCTTATGTAGGCTGTTGCTAGCCTCAAGCGGGCGTTATATTTGGACCCGTTCGAGTGGATCACATCCTACAACTTGGGGCTAGTGCACCTCAACACGGGCCAATATGCGTCGGCCTTTCATTACTTTAGCGCGGCAATCAATCTCAAGCCAGACTTTGCTAGTTCGTACATGTACTTGGCTATTACGTTGGGGCGACTCGATGACTTTGAAAACGCGTGCAGTGCATATGAAAAGGCCATTGAAATGGACGCGTACGTATACATACATACATGGATTTAAGGCCCGTTTTGATTTGTGATGACTGTAAGTAGGGACCACTTGTTTCACTTGAATTATGCCGTCACGTTGCTCAACAACGACGAAATCGAACGCGCCAAGGTCCAATTTGACAAGTTTGACGCGATTTTTAACACGCTGGACGAAGCTACGCAGTCGAGTGACCCGGAAGTGATGGCGCAGCGCCAAGCGCTGTTGGAAGCATTGCACGAGAACTAGTTTGTCCACGTACCAGCACCATTCGTGGTTTCCAACAGAATAAGGATAGTGTCACAGTCTGGGATATATATAATATATATATATATATCGGATAATCCGAACACGAAGAATATTCGCAACGATGCAGGATAATTTTCTTGCATACTTGTGCTTTCGAGTGAAATTTCGTGTTGTGGCGTGGTTTCTGGTTGAAATTTAGATCGATTTGATTGGCTACCTCCGATGAGCTCAAAATTATTAGCCAATCAAAACCTTCTCATTTAAATTCAACAACCAATCAGATCGATTGTGGATCGGTTTTTTTCGATTCGATTCCACCCCCTCCCCAAATTATCAAATCGACAATAATTGCCATGAACTTGAACCAGAAACACGAAAGGCCCATACTATTAATAGTAGTAATTTGCTGTAAATTCAAAATAAAAGAACCTTCCAACGTCATGCCAAGAGCAACAGCCGGCCGCGCAGGGCGGCTAAAAACACGGACTCGACCGATAAAAAGTGTTTCAACGCGGCGTTCGACGGGTACTTGTCGAGGTCGCGCTGGTAATCTTGGATACGGCAGTCCAGCACTTGTTGGATCTTTTGAAGCACCGAGTCGTCCAACGTCAGTGGCGCTGAGGGGGTCGACTGGGCGGTGAACAGCGGCGACAGATCCGGCAGCGCGTGCTGGCGAAGCACATGCACTTCGTCTTGGGATAGCTGGAGCTGTGTGGCCAACGATATGTGACGCTGTTCAAGCTCCACGCTCGTCTTGTGCCACCGTTCGACCTGTTCTTGCATGGAATTGGCGTGCGCCTCGCAGCGGTCGCTACATGTCGACGTATGTCACATGAACTTGTGTCTTATAGCATTCTTTCGCCTTACCTCAACTCGCAGCGTTCGACTTGCAGGGCTCCCCTCTGCACTTTTAAGCTTTCGCATTCAAGGAACCGCCGATGCAGGTCTTTCTTTGCCCGTTTGAGTTGGACGACGTGGTCTGCTACCATCGTGACCAGTGAGTCATTGGATGCTTGCAGCGATGCCACGAGCTGTTCCATGTCGTGAGACTTGCGCTCCATGTCCACATGCTGTTTCTGCATGGCGGCTGCAGATTGGCGCAATTCGGCCAACGCCTCCTCTTGCGAGTCGACCAACTGCATCAGTCGGCTGGACTGGTCAGTCCATTTGGTTTCCTGGGCCATCAAAACCCGCTTGAGCTCTTCAATGGTGAGTTGTTGGTCTGCATGCTGACGTTCTAACCGGGACCGCTCGCGGGTGAGTTGTTGCAGCTGACTTTGCAGCGTTTCCACATGACCCTCCATCTCGCCTTGCAAGTCAATGTACATGTGCCGATCTCGGAGAAATTCGAGCCATAATGGGTTCGCTGCCATGGATTCCACGCTGGTCTGGAGAGTTCGGATCGTGTCCTGCGCTCTATGTCGTTGATTCGCCAGATCTTCGTGCTGCATCCCCAGTCGTTCGTTGGTTTGCTGGTTAATAGCGGCCACTTGTTGGCACTTTCGACGCAAGTTGGCGTGGTTCTTCTCCAACTGCGCCACAATACCACGCAACAGATGGTTCTCCTGGTCGAGCTCCATATAATCTTCCTGTAAGTTGGAGCACTCGACTTGCAAGTCGCTGGCCGCCCGTCGCTCGGCTGCCATCGTCGCATGCAAGTCTGAGCACTGGGTACGAAGACGGACCATGTCTGCTTGAAGGACTCGCTGGAATTGACGCTTGTGATGCAAGTGGACCAAGTTGGTGTCATGCTCATGGCGCAACTCGTCGACTACTGCAGCATTCCATTGCGCTTGATCGTGAAGCGTTCGCAACGCGCGGCGAAGGACTGGCACCTTTGACACCACGACACAAAGCTGCTCGGTGTGGTGTCGAAACGCATCGTCCTGTGGGAATCGAACGAGAAGCTGCTGGATGTGTTTCACAAGGGTCATCGATGGAGATGGAAGGCCAGCGCGCGTTGAGGTCGCGGCAGCGTCCGATGACTCCATGCAGTGGGTGCTTGATAATTCGGTAACGTTGGTCATCGTTGGCGAGTCATGGGACTCGGTGATGCCATCTTCCGAAGTATACGACTTTGCGATCTCCAATGTCAAAGATGTGTCATGTTGTGCAGCTACGGTAGTGCCTTGAGCGCCCATAGCTTCGTACTTGTCGATCAGGCGTTGCTTTGCCTCGAGCAGTTGTCTTTGCCACTCCACCTTCTGTGCCTGCACTCGGTACTCCTGTTGAATGTTCTCGAGGATGTCCAGGATGCGTGTTTTCTTGTCTGGGGTAAGGAACACCGAGTCTAGTGGAAGGTTTGCCACGTCCATTCCATCTACGTAGATGCTCAGCAATCCACAACGACACACACACGCTTGATCATCGACACGTCGTCTCTATGTACCTGCAAGGTAGGCCATATCGCCGGTTGACCTCATCTCGTCGCCGCTTCTGGCGTTCACTTGCTTTGTCATGAACACTCAGCGCTCTTCTCGCGCGCGAATTTTTAATCATATTCCTGACCAAATCAAATTTAATTCAAGTCGTGGGTACTTTCTTGTTATTTGTAACGATATTTACCATTTCAAGAATAATAATTTAAACGAAAGACATAAACCTCTCTAAGACTATACCAATTAAAGTTATACAGTTCTTCGCCTGCCAGTCTTGACTTGGCGGCATTTTGACATCATGTCGACGCAATTCCTCAAGGCCGCTGGTGCGTCGTCCTTCATGTAGTGTCTACTACCCCTTAACATGGCGTCCTAGGAAGCGGCGATGTCGATCGTGCCAAGGAGCTGATTCAGCACATCCATTTCCAGAACAAGAAGGGCGAGTCCGGTATGTAGACTGCACCTTGGAACAGCCGACACATACTGACTTCTCGGTTGTCCTTTTGCATACTGCATATGTAGGTCTGCATGTTGCGATCGCGGAGGGCGAATTGGGGATGGTCGAGTTCTTGTGTAACGCTGGTGCGAATGTGAACTTGCAAGACAAGAAGGGCGGAAACACAACGATCATGCTGACGTTGGCGCAACAACCGCCGCAGTACTTGGCCATTTTGGAGGTATCGCTCGCCACGATTCAGTCCATCCGTCCATCCATTCATTCACGGCAACACGTGTTCCTCGATAGATCCTGTTAAAGCATCAGCCCGACTTGACGCTAAAGGACTCGACAGGTCAAACCGCGCTGCACCTCGCTGCACGTACGTGTGTGTCAGTCATCCTTCTGTCCCTTCCTTCGTCTTCGTTCACATGTCCGCGGTCTAGAGTACGAGTGTGTCGACGGCGTCAAGCTGTTGCTTGCGTCCAAGTCCAACTTGGACATTCCCGATGCGAAGAACATGACTCCGTTGCTCGTCGCGGTCGGCAAGCGCAACGTCGGCATCGTCGATCTGTTGGTATGTACATACGATCTTATGACCGTTCCAGGCTCATGTTGCCATTAGCTCACCAGAAGCCACAGCATCCACGCCGTCGACATCAAGGGCAACTCGGCGCTGTAAAACTACCCTATTCCTTATTATTTCATTCCTGTACATGGGTACATAGGCACTGGGGCGTTGCATCGTTGGACATGACGAGTTTCTTGGTGTCCAAGGTCTTTTCCATATGCAATCATCACTTTAGGTGGATTCATACTTTGGGAGTAGGGAGCCAAAGCGTCGGTGAACGTTCTGGGCAACTCGCCTCTGCATGCCGAAGCGCTGCGGTCCGATGCGACTGCGGCATGGCCGACGGACGTCGCGCAGGTCCTTCTCACGTCGTTCCCTGAGATTGCAACGTTGAAGAATGCCAAGGGGAAGACGGCAGACCAACTCGTGGGCGGCGTCGAGGAGACGGTTACCCCTGCGCCGTCCTCTGCCAAGGCAAAGACATCTGCGGGAGGAGGTCGTGGCAGGAAGCAGCACGTCAATAATGACGACGATGGACCGAGTGCCATTGCGATTCAAAATGCCAAAGCAGGTGTGTGTTGTCGCTCTCTGCTATGTGGCACTGATTGCGATGTCGGATCGTAGCCATGATGGCTCGGGTGAAGGAACGTGCGCAGAAGCGGCGGTCGTTGATCCCCGAAGAAGACACAGACCTCGTGGAACCCATCAAGCCGCAGGACGCGCTCTCGCCCCCCGTGGCCAACACCACGAGCTCGTGGACCATGGCACTCATCGTTGCAGTCGTCATCGCCTTCTTCGCCGCCGTGTACGCCATGCTCGAAGCTTCCGCGGCCAAATAGAGTCAACTGGACTCATGAAGCGCAACTTCAGCTCGGCAAGATGTAAAATTAGGCACCGGATAAAAACGTTGATTATCCGGAATTGGGTTATGTTGGGATTTGTATGCCCGTGTGTGAACGTTGGTTTGTTACTTTCGTCGCCGAACCTTTCTGCATATGATCATGGCCGACAACACCGTGCTTGGACGACTGGACCATTGGGCTACCGTGCAGCCCAAGAAGGTACGTACCCCGAGGACGAACCGCTCCCATCATAGTAGCACATGCTTACTCGTGCATGTAGAACCTCTTTGCCTTTGTCGACGACAACGGCCAAGTCACCGACAGCGTCACCTACGACGTACACGACGCCGCAACCGTCGATCATTCCTCATCATGTAGATCATGTCTAGGACGTTCAAAGCCGCAGTTCCAACTTGGCGAAATGGATGCTGACCAGCCCTAGTGTGTCATCGAAAGGGTAGTTATGTCGTCGATCAATTCCATCGTCAAACAAGCATATCGTTCCATCATGTTGACTGCATAGACTCGGCCTATCGAAGGGCGACATTGTGCTCTTGGTGTATCCTCCAGGGTTGGACTTCATTGTTGCGTTCTTGGCTTGCTTGCGAGCGGGCGTTGTCGCCGTGCCCGTCTACCCCCCTGGTAGGCAGACCTATCGACATGAATCCTTCCTCAACGTCCGGGTTTCCATCATTCGTGTAGACCCGCGCAAACTGCGCAAGGACATCGCCATGTTCACAACCGTGTGCTCCAACGCCGGCGCCAAGGTCGCGTTGACGAATTCCACGTACAACTACGCCAAGAAGGTGGTCGCCATCCAGCAAAAGGTCACTTTTTCCGAGAAATTCCCTTGGCCTGACCTGCGCTGGGTTGAGTCGGACGGTCTTGTCCTCACATCACCACCTCCTTCTCCATCGTCCACCCCGTGGTTGTTGGTGCCGCCTTCACTGGACGACCTGGCGTTCCTGCAGTACACTTCTGGGTCCACCTCCGAGCCCAAGGCATGATGTCTGTCTTATCCGCGTGCCACGTCATAATATGGATGTTTGTATAGGGCGTGATGATTTCGCACGGGAACCTCGGCCACAACTTGTCGATGATCGCCTCCGCACTCGAAGCGACGGATGACTCGGTCGTCGTGTCGTGGCTGCCTCAGTACCACGACATGGGGCTCATTGGCGCGTACTTGGGCGTGTTGTTTACAGGTAAACCCATCATTTCACTGGATTTCGTTCGTTTTTCACTGTTTTTTGTTGTTATATTCATGTCTTAAACGGTGCCATGCACTGGATTTCGTTCGATTTTCACTGTTTTTTATCGTTTTATTCATGTCTGGAACCGCTTCTGTACTGGATTTCTTTCGTTTTTCACTGTTTTTTATCGTTTTATTCATGTTCGGAACCACTTCTGTTCTGGATTTCGTTCGATTTTTCACAATGTTTTCCCGTTTTGTTCATGTCTGGAACCGTTTCTTTCTGTGTTGTTCGACTTTGTTTATTCACGACTTGAACCATCTCTATATATTTCAATATTAATTCAATGTCTACTTTTTCCACACGCAATATGGTTCTATCTTATGGTTGTGTCCATGCATGTTAGGGGGCCATGGGGTGTACATGTCTCCGTTTAGCTTTATCAAGAACCCGTTGGTTTGGATCCGGCTCATCTCGCAGTACCGCGCCACGCATTTACAAGCGCCCAACTTTGCCTACGCCCTCTGTGCGCGCAAGTTTGCTACCGCCAACCCGTCCCAAACCTCGACTAGTATTACTACTAGTAATACTACGAGCAGTTGCAAGCTGGACCTGTCGTCGGTACGACACATGATCAACGGCGCCGAGCCCATCGACGGAGACGCGATCGACGCCTTCTACCGCGCCTTTGAACCATATGGCCTTTGCCGCGGCGTCGTTCGACCTACGTACGGCCTCGCCGAGCACACAGTGTACGTGTGCGACAGCTCCCCGCAGCTGCTGCAGGTTCAAGTGGACAAGGAAGCGCTGGAACACCATGATGTATTTCAACCTGTGGCTGACAAGGCTCGTGCGACCAAAGAAATGGTTGGCTGTGGAGCGCCTAGATCTGACGTGGATGTGAGGATTGTGCACCCAGACACCCACAAGGAACTAGCCGCCGGCTCGGTGGGTGAGATTTGGATCCGAAGTCCCAGCACGACCCAAGGCTACTTTGGTTTGAATGACTTGACAAGGGAAATGTTTCATGCGACCATCGTCAGCAACGAACCTCAGCATTACATGCGAACGGGCGACCTCGGTGTGCTCTACCAAGGCGAGGTAACGACGAGCTAGTTGTAGCCTTGATAGATGTATACGTGTCTAGTTAGACGAAGTGTTAGCTCGTTGAGGTTTAGCTAGCTGTAGCCATGATTGGTATGATTGTTAGCTGTAGTTATGGTTAATTCTTAGCTGTAGCCATGGTTGAAATGTTATTAGCTAGTTGTAGCCATACCATTGTTAGTTAGCTAGCTGTATCCATGATTGGTATGATTGTTAGCTGTAGTTATGGTTGATTCTTGGCTAGCTGTACTGTAGCCATGGTTGAAATGATATTAGCTAGTTGTAGCCATACCATTGTTAAGCTAGCTAGCTGTATCCATGATTGGTATGATTGTTAGCTGTAGTTATGGTTGATTCTTGGCTAGCTGCAGTTATGGTTGAGAGAATCGCTGACACTCTTGTTTGTGGTAGTTGTTTGTGTGCGGGCGGTTGAAGGACTTGATCATCGTGCGAGGGCGCAACCATTACCCTCAAGTACCACCACCCTCCTCCCATGCTAATCACGTTGGCCTTCTCCATTTGATTCCATACTTAGGACATTGAAAAGACCGTCGAGGGGTTTCCTGATATTCGTCCGGGCTGTTCGGCAGCGTTTTCCATCTCCACGAACGGAATCCACGAAGGATTGGGGGTGGTCGCCGAAGTCCGCGACGCCAACGTGCCCCGCGCGGCGCTGGAGGCCCTCGCGGCGTCCGTCCGGCAGGCCGTGTCGGTTGAGCATGGCGTGTCTGTGACAGCGTTGGCGCTGGTATCGACCCACTCGATTCCCAAGACCACGAGCGGCAAGATTAGTCGCAAACGGTCGAAAGAAGCGTTTGTGGGCCAGACGTTGACTGAACTGTATCGCATTTTCAAGCCAGCTGCAAATGATGATGACAACAACGAGCCAGAGGACAAAGTGCCAAGTACGATCCAGCCAGCGTTTGCCAGTGTGCCACCATCAGAAGTCAAGGCGTTCCTGCGTCGAGAGATGGCGCAGATGCTGGATGTACCCCCCGACACCATCACGGATACCACACCGCTGCAGCAAGTACGACAACGATATTGTCCTTTTACTTCACAAGTTTGGACTTTTGCGCTGATTTTCGCCAACTCTATCGATCGATATTCTTTGTTCTGAAATTTGTACGAAAAAAGGTGTCTGGTGGAGATTGGTATCACACTAATTAAAAACGCACACTAATTCGACATTGATGTCCTGTAAGTCTGATTGGCTCAACCCTTGTGGCGATTCTTGTGTACAATTGGTTGTGTCTATTCCTTCTCCATGTGGCTCCAGTTTAGAATACACACAGTACAATATTATCCTTTTCAGACTTTTGGGCTATGATTTTCGCCAACTCTATCGGTTGATTCTGTGGATTTACTGACATGTGAATTTTGTATGTAAAAAAAGTTGTCCTGTGGTGAGGTGAACGAGGGAATTTATTAGTCACACTTTGAATCGAAGTAAAATCTAAACGTTGAAGTCTGATTGGTCAACTTTGATTATTTTGACCAATCAAACCAACCCTGGTTTGAAATACATGATTCTGATTGTATATGTACAGCAATATTGAGACGAGCTAAAAACTTGGTCCATATGTAGATTGGGATGGACTCGATGGGGCTGACGCAGTTGCAAGGGATTGTGCACAATCAATATGGCGTGCAAGTCCCCGACCAAGTCTTGTATGGCGAACACACGACGCTGTCGCATGTGTACGATGCCCTCGCGACGGCATCCCACCCCCAGCCTCCGAACGAAGGCGGGGATAACCAAACGTCGTTCCTCCAAGAACCCCGTCCAGCACCACCCGTGACCCCCAAGCAGTCGCGCATTTGCTGTGGATGCATTGCCATTCGGTGATCATCCCAACGTGGTGATGCTTGTTCATCTTGCCCACGGGCGTTTTCGGTGATAGGGTAATCACAAAATGGGTATTAACAGTAAATGTACGTATTCAAATACTGTACATAAGGGCAATACATACTGTACATTGGTGTCGCCTTGCCTGCTACTACAACGTTGTAGTACTATCCACACACTCAGGCATAGCAATGGTTTCGCTCACAAGCACTGTTGGAGGTTGTTCGTTTATGTACTTTAGTAGCTTTCGAATCCATCACCAAAGGAGCAAAAATGTTCCATTTCGGAGAAAGTTCCATCGCGTTTTACACAAACACCGCCTCGTCAGAGGTGACATTGGACCATACTAACTACTTCGAAGTAGTAGATTTTAACATTCTTGGACCGTTGAAAGTGTAGTGTTAACTTATTAGGGCCTGTTCCAAGTAGATATTTTTAGAAAACCAAAAAGTGGTTCCAAGAATTGTGGATTCGATACGAATTTCCAGCCTTCGCCGCCGAATCAAAGCACGAATCGACGCTATGGCTAATCCATTTTTGAGTGAATTTGATTGGCTCTTACAGAAAGGACAAGTATATTCAACCAATCAGAACTCCGGCGTGATTCAATATTGATTAGACAAACCAGGCGAATTTCCACATATATACCACGTCCAGGTAAGCTTTTATATAACTAGTAAATAAATATATATACCCACGACATGAATTAAATTTGATTTGGTCTGGCATATAATGAAATATTCGTGCGCGTGAAGAGCGCCGAGTGTCCATGACAAAGCAAGTGAACGCCAGAAGCGGCGACGAGATGAGGTCAACCGGCGATATGGCCTACCTCGCTTGTAGGTACAGACCTCCATTCGATTCGCAACGTCAAATGGTGGAGACGAGTAGACGATACATCGCTCTTCACTTGTCTCGGACTTTGCGAGCAGTGCAATGGACACCTTGAGTGGCGCATACCCGGGCTCACCCATCTGCCAGAAGGCCTTGTACGGCACCTGTTCCATCGCGCGAACGATGCATTGATCGAGTACCGCGTAGTCAATGTAATCATCTTGCATCTGAGACGAGGATGGACCACTGCTCCAGTAGCATTCACCTCGGGAACATCCGCAGATCAGCCTACGAGCATGCGTTGAGATAGGAAACAATGAGTACAGGGTACGTTTGCAGGGTATAGTTGAGCAGCGCTTGGCGCGGCACGCCGTCATTGAGCACCCGCATACGCCGGAAACATCGCGATATGCGCAGAGTGTTCTCGGGGCTTTCGGCATCAGGCCGGTCGACAGAAGACACCGCTAATACGTACCGCAATCCAATGGTGACATATCATAGGACTTTTTCATACGCAACATGAAGTTCATACCAACGACAGCGTGCAGGAGTCCGACGGACTCTCGCGCGTCGATCCTTGCACACGCACAGGCCAGAGCCTTCCAGCCCAATTCGTTCTTGCTAGGAAGCACCACAGCGTCGCGCAACGCACTCTTTCTCCAATATGCTGTCGATATCACAAGGGTCAGATACATTTGATGTCAACTGGCCTCCGAACCTCCGTCGATGGCGCATTCGTAGAACGATCGACATGTCAGTTCCATCCTATGCAACGCCGAGTGGTCCAAGTATGACGCGACAATATGCATGCATTCCCTCGGCAGGAGTCCATTCGCTGAGGCATTGTCGGCCGTCATGCCTGCCACCATCTTCCGTTGTTTCTTTTGATTTTGCATGAAGATTAGCGAAATGTCGAGTGCGAAGTGTCCGGATCGAGAAGAGCAGTGGGGGTCGTTTATCCGGATTTCGACCTCAATCACAACATATGGACAGCGAGAAGTCTTCTGATGCCGCTCCTGCCATGGCAGAGTCGATTCCACGAGAAGTCTTCCGAGTGCCTGCCATTGGAGACGTCTGGGTCAATGGCCTCTCGAACGAATACGATGCTTCTACCTTTCCCTCTCAACTAGAAGCCTACATGACCCAAGCAGACTATGACAAAGCGTTGGATACGATCAACCAAGCGTTGCACGATCTATGGCCGTGCGTGCCTTGCTGGTCTACGAGCTACGGCTGTTGTGTCTGTACCTTGGGACTGTCCCTCTACTGCGCATGGGGCCAAGTCAGCGAGGCGGAAACATGCACCGCTCGTCAAATCGCTCGGGTCAACCGACGCGCATGCTT